TGGCACCGGCACACCGGGTTCTAGTCCTGGTCGGGGTGCTGGATTCTGTCCCGGTTGCCCCTCTTCCAGGCCAGCTCTCTGCTGTGGCCTGGGAAGGCAGTGGAAGATGGCCCAAGTCCTTGGGCCCTGCACCCCATGGGAGACCAGGAGAATCACCTGGCTCCTGGCTTCGGATCAGTGCGGTGCGCTGGCCGCAGCGCGCTGGCCGCAGCGGCCATTGAGGGGTGAACCAACGGCAAAAGGAAGACCTTTCTCTCTGTCTCTCTCTCTCACTGTCCACTCTGCCTGTCAAAAAAATAAACAAAAACTTTCTGTTTAGCAAAGTAAGCAATCCACAAAATGAAAAGGCAATGTACTGATTATGAGACAATATTTGGGAACCATATATCTGACAAGGGGTTAATATCCAAATCACTTATATATAAAGGAATTCATAAAACTCAGTATCAAAAAAACCCAAGTTTTAAAAATGGGCAAAGGACCTGAATAGACATTCTCCTCCAATGAAGATATAAAAATGGTGAACAAGTATATGAAGGGTGCTCAACACCACCCATCATCAGGGAAATGCAAATCAGAACCACAGTGAGGAAACGGGCATTTGGCCTAATGGTTAAGATGTCCACATCCCACATTTGAGTGCCTGGGTTCAATTCGTGGCTCTGGCTCTGACCACTTTCTCGGTGGCTTCACATTCCCAGTCTGATATGGCAATCAGCCAGCTCTAAGCACGAAGGGGTTAGGAAGGATGAGGGGAAGGGTGGTGACTTCCCTAGCACTCTGCCAAGCTCTAGTCCAACATTCCTTAATAATTCTTTGGCATTTCTACTATAAGATGGCACATTGAGCAGCACATGTTGCAACTTTCCATTTCAACACCAAATCTTCAGAAATAAGGGAAAGATTTTAATAAAAATTCAGAACTAGGCAAGAAGAGAAGTGGTAGACTAGAAACTCTTAGCACTTCCAGGAAGGACTAGATTAAAGAAAAAATCACTGCCTAAGACTGCTTCTAAATAATGAAAGCCAGGGGGCTCACACTGTGGCGTAGTAGGTAAAGCTGCTGCCTGCAATGCTGGTGTCCCATAAGGATGCCAGTTCTAGTCCTGGCTGCTCCACTTCCAATCCAGCTCTCTGCTATGGCCTGGGAAAGCAGTAGGAGATAGCCCAAGCTCTTGGAACCCTGCACCCATGTGGGAGACCTGGAAGAAGGTCCTGGCTCCTGGCTTTGGATCAGCACAGCTCCAGCCACTGTGGCCATTTGGGGAGTGAACCATCGGATGGAAGACCTCTCTCTCTCTCTCTCTCTCTCTCTGCCTCTCCTCTTTCTGTGTAACTCCAATTTTCAAATGAATAAATAAATCTTTAAAATATATATATATATAAAAAGAAGAGCTGTCTGTGGTACACACAACCAAAGAACACACCCTGCTCTCTCCCACTAGCAGGTGGCATTCCTAAACAGACTGACAGACGATGTCAAAAATAACAAGTGAACTTTCAGTTAAGACTCACCAAATATTTGAAGAATGTTATTACCAAGAAAGAACTGCCGTGCTCAACAAATTGAAGACCTTATACCAGAGCACAGAGAGACAGAACAGGCAACTCAGAGCTTTCAAATACATATAATTTATATTCTCTGAGAGATTTAAGATGCTATTATGTCCATGAAAAAAAAAATAAAGAATCATCTAGGTATTTGAGGAATTTAAAAGTTGGATTATTAAAATAAAGATTCAACAGCTGAACCAAAAGCATAATGGGCACACGTGAAGAATAAGTTAAAGCAGGAAGACTGAATTGAGGAATTCTTTCAGAAAGTAGCCCAAAAGGACCAAGAGATGGAAAGTATGAGGAACAACAACAACAACAACAAAAAAAAAAAAAAAAAAGGACACATGGCATCAGATGTAGAAGTTCCAATATTCATGTAATAGGAATTCCACAGAGAGATTAGGAAGAACGAAGCATAGACAACCAAAGGAATAAAAGAGAACACTTTCTTAGAACTTGACAGACTCATGAGTCTTTGGATTAAGCATACATGAGAGCAACACAAATGGAAGGGAAATGTACACCCTCCTAAAATTCCTGACCCCTCTCAGTCCCAAATATCAAACACATCTAGAGCAAAAGAACACCAAACAGAAGTACATTTTCTTACAAAGGAATGGGACTCAGATTGACTGCAGGTTTTAAATAAGCAACACTGACTGCCAAACAATATATCTGCTTATTCTGTCACATAATAGTTAAAAGGCGGAAACAACCCAAACTTTCAAAAGCAAATAAACAAACAAATGTGGAATATACTCATACATACAATGGACTATTCAGCTTAAAAAGGAATGAAATTCTGAGGCCAGCACTGTGGCACAGTGGGTTAAAGCCCTGGCCTGAAGCACTAGCATCTCATATGGGCACTGGTTCTAGTCCCAGCCGCTCCTCTTTCCATCCAGCTCTCTGCTATGGCCTGGGAAAGCAGTGGAAGATGACCCAAGTGCTTGGGCCCCTGCACCCACTGGGAGACCCGGAAGAAGCTCCTGGCTCCTGGCTTCAGGTCAGCTCAGCTCCAGCCTTTGCAGCCATCTGGGGAGTGAACCAGCAGATGGAAAACTTCTCTCTCTGTCTCTACCTTTTTCTGTAACTCTGTATTTCAAATAAATAAAATAAATCTTAAAAAAAAATGAAATTTTGATACACATTAGGACACAGCTGAATCTTGAAAACATTATGTTAAGTAAAAAAAAAGTCAGACATAAAAAGGCAAATATGGTTTCATTTCACTTATATGAGGTAGCAAGAATAGGCAAATTCATAGAAACAGAAAGTAAAATAAGAGGTTACCAGAAAAAAAATCTATTAAAATAAAATTTAAAATGGTTAAATAATATGAGATATGTTATATGCTGGAATTGCATACAACAATTAAAAAGAATGTGGTAAGTCTATACACACAAGAGTACTTCAAAGTGTGGAAAAAATGGAAATTAAATTAAAAGCTTATTTTGGTGAAAAAGTATTAATCTGGGGCCAGCACTGTGGTGCAGCAGGTTCATGCCCTGCCCTGCAGTGCTGGTATCCCACATGGGCACCGGTTTGAGACCCAGCTGCTCCACTTCTGATCCAGCTCTCTGCTTCTTGGCCTGGGAAAGTAGCAGAGAATGGCCCAACACCTTGGGCCCCTGCACCTATGTGGGAGACCTGGAAGAAGGTCCTGGCTCCTGGCTTCAGATTGGCGTAGCTCCAGCCGTTGCGGTCATTTGGGGAGTGAACCATCGGATGGAAGACCTCTCTCTCTCTCTCTCTCTCTCTGCCTCTCCTTCTCTCTCTGTGTAACTCTTTAGAATAAATAAATTAATACTTTAAAAAAAGTATTAATCCATGCATAGTTTTTTCATAACACATTTTTTTTTTATTGTTTTGACAGGCAGAGTGGACAGTGAGAGAGAGAGAGTCAGAGAGAAAGATCTTCCTTTTGCCGTTGGTTCACCCTCCAATGGCCGCCGCGGCCGGCATGCTGCGGCCAGAGCACTGCGCTGATCCAAAGGCAGGAGCCAGGTACTTATCCTGCTCTCCCATGGGGTGCAGGGCCCAAGCACTTGGGCCATCCTTCACTGCACTCCCTGGCAACAGCAGAGGGCTGGCCTGGAAGAGGGGCAACCGGGAAAGAATCCGGCGCCCTGACCAGGACTAGAACCTGGTGTGCCAGCGCCGCTAGGCGGAAGATTAGCCTAGTGAGCCATGGCGCCGGCCCATAACACATATTTTTCACAAATATTTTGAAGACTCTTCATATGAAAGGATATCAAAGATCTCTCTCCTCCCTCCCTCTCCCTCTATCACTTTGCCTTTCAAATAAATACACTTTTCAAAAAATAATCAGAGTTCAGAATAAAGTACATAGTATGAATCCATTTACTTAAAATGACAAAATTGAAATTATAAATTTATGTAAATCTAGATTAAAAACCTAAGAGAAATTTATTAGCTTGGTTTTAGTCACCAGCTCAATAGGATCTGAAGGGCAGCTAAAGGGACTAAGTTTCATCTGTATATTTGAGTTCTTTAAATAAAATAAAATGTGTACACATAAACTTTACTTGTATAATTAAAAATTAAGACATTAGGAAAAAGGAAGCCTGTAGCAGTCAGACTTTATAAAGCAGGCAGAGTGGAGAACGATGTCTGCTGCTAGGTGCCAGCCCCTTCACTGTGTCTTTGCAGTGAGGAACGTCAGGGTTTGTCCCTGCCGTCTCAGAGTTCCGTGCCTCACAGAAAAGGCATTAAATTCACCACCCCTTGTCCTCCTTTAGCACCCTCATCTTCCTCCTCTCTGAGCACCTACCTCTCTTTCTGCTGTATCTGAATCTGAGATTAAAACTCAACAGCAGTAGAAAGGAAAGAATAAGATTAGAGAGAGTCACCATTTTGTTGTCAGAGGGTCTAGAGAGCACCGGACTTCCTTTCAAACTCTGCCACAGCAGCGTGGCACACCCCCGACGCGGGGAGTGGACAGAAGCCATACCCGTGTCCTCTGGAACCTCGGCAGCCTCGTGGCTTCCAAGACCTGATTTCTCAGGAGGTCCGTTCTTGGAACCTGGCCGCATTACTATCAGGAGGCCCAAGCAACCCATGGGGCCAACCAGGGATCTTAGTCCATAGCACGGCTGAGTACAGATGAGCTGTTCCCACTGAGCCAGGTCAAAACTGTACGAACAAAACAACTGTTTTAAGTTATTACATTATGTGGTAGCTTGTTACAAGGAAACAAATACTGGAACAGTTCCCTTCAGAAATACGGAGAACTGAGAGCAGTCCACATCAGCAACTGCAGCTACCTGACGCATCACCAGGAGCCTGCGAATACGCCTGCCTCAGAGTGAGGTCACTTTCCCACGGTGAGACTCCACAACAAACACGCTGAGCTCAGCTCTCAGTGCTTTCTGGCATCAGCTTCTCTTAAGGGAAGATCACACTCTCCACCGACATCTTACCTTTCAGAAAGCTGCCGGATCTGCGGGATGCCCATGTACTTGTGGAAGTGCTCCAGGACATTCATCACGCCCTGCAGGAGATTGGCAACTTCCCCATACTGCCTTCTCCTGGTCATGGCCCTGCAAGGAAATAAAGAGTGGAAAACTTAAAAACAAACAAACAAAACCACTAAGGGCACAAAATACAGATTTTGAACAATTTACTCTAGCTCTAAAACAGACATCAACTCAATTTAATAAACACATACCACGCACTGGGTATGTGTGGTGCTGTACACCGGAACAGAAAAATAAGACCTGGTCCAAATCCTTAAGGTGATATCATTTAGCAAGGGAGAATGTCAATACATACCTCAGTAGTAACATGCAAGATGAACTAAGTTTTAAATGGAAGTACAAGTTATGTGCTACGAGGATACAAAAGAATGTGTGGGTGATGGGATTCTCATTGGGTGCGGGAGGAGAATCTGGGAAGAATTTATGAATTTGGGATTTGGGTTGCGTATTATAGGATCAGTAGGCTTTGTACAGAGAACAGAGGGAGAGATGTTATTAGCCAAGGCTTATAGAATATAGACAAAACAAATACATCTTTCTAGGAGGATACAATAGGAGACATTTACATAGTAACTCAAATCTGAAGGTTTTAAACCAATAATAAGCAACTCTGTCAGAGATATCGACTTTCCCCTTTGCTAGGGCTAATGAGGCATAAATAAAAGGATGCTGATGAAATCAACAGTTATACCCAGTGAGGAAGTACAAGCTATTAGATCTAAATTTTTCATTAGGGTTGGGCTTTTAAATTAAATTTATAATTTATGACCTTCTTAAGAGGATTTAAAAAGCCAGGATCAAGTTCAGGCTAAGGTGTTATGTTGCCACTGCTGCCTGGTCTGAGAGTTGGTGGCAAACACTGGATCCCTGGGGGAAGAAGCAAAGCAGCCTGCTTTTCCATCTCCCTGGCCTGCTGCCCCGACTGACAGCTCCTCCTGGGAAAATGGAGCAGGGATTCCCCTGACACTCATACAGTGTCTGAGAGAGGTCAGGGAGGCGTCTGCTTCCTCCTCCTTCCCTACAACACACTGCCCATGGCCCTGCTCTAAGACTCTGGATGCGATATTCAGATCAGTGTTTCTGCGAAGATGCTCTGTCCACACATGGAATCAACCTGCAGGTGGGATGCAGAAAGCCTTAGGCTGAGACAGAGCACAGAGGTGCGCCGGGATGGCAGAGCCCTGCTACTAAACCAGAGTTTTGGATTGCTTTGTTATGGCCAACAATCAATTCTTCCTTTTAACACTATTTCCAATGTTCTCTTATTTAAGTCCTCCTACGAGCCAAACAAGAAGCTTCATTGTTTGAAAAACTGAATTAAAACAAAAAGGGGTTGAGTGATAAATCAAAGATCTGTTTCCACAAGTAGCTTCACTGACAGTGTAACTTGGCCCAATACCAGCAGGAAAACTGGCTGAGGCAGATGATTTAGGTGGGGAGTGCCTGAACCCCCTTGCCTGCCTTAACAAACACAGTCGTAAATGTGAATGGTCCATGTTCCTAGAGTATTCTCACGTGCATTATGGGTCTCCTTTCAGGCGTTAAGTTTTGAGCACCAGAGGGCACAAGGCAAAGTGATGACAGAACACTTCAGGCCAATTTGCACAGGGTGGGCCAGGATGGTGAGACTCTCCTGGCTGAGAAGGGAAGAAACCTGTAAGCCCGTTTTCTGTAGGTCATGGGATTCCTGTGGGCCCAGCAGAGGAAGTCGACATGGCTTACTCGAGGGAGTCGACACCACCCGCCAGCATGTGCAAGTGGTTCAGCGTGGTGATTGAGGTGGTCAGGTGGCGTTTGGCATGATCTAACTGCTTGATATCACGGGTGATTTCTTTAACCTAAATATTAAAAGACCACAGGGGAGAAAGGAAGAAGGTTAAGAAGAATGTAAATCCTTCTGCAATTAGCTCCATGAGAAAACAATGCAAATGAAGCCAGGACAAAACCTCTGGGTTGGCCCCAGGAGAAAATGCAAATATCCTTACAATATGAAATTCCAGTAATCCCCAACCAGTCCACTTAATTTCACTTGGCATTTATTCACACTTTGTTCTGGGTTACAAACCCTTCAGCTGTAGGAATAAAATCAGCTTTATTTTTCACCATGAATCGAACAATCCAAAGAGCAAGGCAGGACTAAGCATTCAGGGTGCGGGAGCAGCCCAGCCCATCTCCCGTGCAGGAAAGTAGGCCCTGCTGCTGCAATGCCTGGGTTCTGTGTAACACAGACAGTACTAGTCAGCTAACCCAAGGCAGAGGGTCATCATTTATGGATCCTGGGTTTATTGCCCAGGTCTGCAGCAAAGAAGTTCTCTCAAACCAAAAGGCAACTAAAATGTGACCCCTGTCACATAAGCTTAACATGTAAGTTCCTGAGAGGACAGTCACAGTCTTTGGAAAAACAGAGAGCAATCAGGCAATAAAAATTCTGACTGTGGACCCAGCAGGTCTGCAGCTGGGAACACAAGTATATTTCAGTTGTTAGAAAAGTGTATTTGACAGTGATGCTGGGAAGAATTCTCCAACTTCACTAACATCCAGGTGCAATCTTCCACTCAGCTGAGTCCATGAGGATCAAGAAACTCTCTTTATGGCGATCTGATTTCCCAGGTTCTGTGATACTTAGAGGGAAGAGTGCCCTGGACACCAGGAATAGATATTCTAGTCACTGGATACACACATCCGTTAAACTGAAAAACCTGGAAATGAGTTGACATCATGGGATCTCATACGGTCATCACCTTGGCTGAACTCACACAGTAAAGATTAGGACCTACAAGCCTGCAAGGTTAACCAGGGTCTCAGCAGGGACCTCCCCATCAAGCCTGCATTCCCTCTAGAACCCTAAGGCCATTAATCTACCTCCAATTACATTAAGAAGGAGAGGGAGGCAGAGGGACAGGGAGGGAGAAACGGTGAAGACCCACGGAAACTCTACTGAATAACGAAGCTTGAGGCCAAAAAGATCAGGAGTTGTAGAATAAATTATTTGTATGAGTCTGGCCCTATAATCTGATCACCCACTTCTAACATTTAAAATCATCATCTTATTTCCTACACAGAATCCCTGTACCTCTTTTCTAGGTTCCTCAGTTTCAGCATTAATATCAGGTCTGTGACCACTGTGTTCAAAGTCACAGTCACCTACGATTTGTCACTTTCCCTGCAGCTTACTCATCCTGAAATCCTGAGTATTCTACCTTGGCCTCATGTTGAGAGTCCATTCCTGCCCCTTTCCTCCTTGTTCAGGCCCTCACTGCTCTGCACTGGAGCTTTTCAGTCCTAATATCTCCCATCACTCCCTGCGCCATAGCCTACGCTTCTCTACACAGTCTGTACTGCTGGTCATTCCCTAAACAAAACCTTTGCTGGCTGGGCAGGCAAGGAGCGCTCAAGTCAAATGTATATGACACCATTCTGCAAACCAAGTAAGAATACTGTTAACCTCAGGGCTGGCACTGTGGCACAGTGGGCTAAGCCTCTGCCTGCAGCACTGGCATTCCATATGGGCTCTGCTTTGTGTCCCGACTGCTCCTCTTCCCATCCAGCTCTCTGCTATAGCCTGGGAAAGCAGTGGAAGATGGCCCAAGTGCTTGGACCCCTGCACCCACAAAGGAGACCGGGAAGAAGCTCCTGGCTCCTGGCTTCAGATCGTCCTAACTGTGGCCATTGCAACCACTGAGGGAGTGAACCAGCAGATGGAAGACCTCTCTCTGTCTTTCTCTCTCTCTAACTCTACCTCTCAAATAAATAAAATCTTAAAAAATAATAATAAATTAACCTCAACTGTGAACGATGGCAGCCAAAAAGGCACAGAATATGCTGTGGCTGGGTTTGGAGTCAGAAAGATCTAGGACTGAATTCCAGCTCTACCACTCACAATCCATGCCCTTGGACAAGTTTCTCAGCCTCACCAGGCTCAGTGTCCTCATCTGTAGAACGGGCAATCATAAAGATAATGACAACAAAATCTAGTTCATAAGGTTGTCATGGGAGCTAATTCAGATCACTTGGACAAGGAACTGGCTTAGTGCTGGGCACACTGCAAAAGCTCAGCAAACATGGTTTCCCTTCATTGCTACCTCTTCTTCCCTTTGGCAAAGCACTGTCCAGGAAAGCAAACTGCTTTAAAACGCGAAGTGCAGTAACTTTACAAGAAGCTCAGTCACACTGTCACTGTACCCCTTTGGCTGGAAGAGGGCACACACACCACAGCTGTAAAACTGGAATCATAAGGATGGCGATAAGTAAGAGACCTGAGTACAATAAACTCTAGCAAAAGATGCACTTGACTCCTGGTGACCATGCTTCAGCGGCCCTGAATGGTATAGAGGGGAGTGCCCCCTTGGGGAAGGACCGCAGATCCAAATCCCCAGCGTGACGTCCAGTGCCCTTCACATGGTGAATTTTCACAACACTGTGGGGTAGGTGCTGTTGTTCTTGTCTTACAGTTGAGGAAACTGGAATTTGGGGGTCTTATGTGACCTACGATTTCAACCCAGGAGCCTCCCACGATGGAGGAGTGGGTGAACGCTGAATTTGTAGTCAGCAGAGTGCCCCTGTAAGTACACCATTGGGGATCCTGAATTTGTAGAGTGAGAACTTCATCAAAACCACATGTGTGTGTTTCCTGGGTGGAATACATCCCACATCCCAGATGCAGGCCCAGTTTCACAGTGCTACCAAGTTACCAATCACATACCTTAATTGAGAAAATGTGTGATATAAACAAAACCAAGAGAAAGGAATCCAAAATGACCATGAAACTATTTTGGGGGAAGGAAAAAGACCAGCTTTCCTTTCTAAAAGAGGGCTGTAGATGTAGGGCAGCAGGGATGGTGAGTCACTGCTGTCTAGCAGCTCTGCATGAACTGATCTGGAATGGGCTCACAGGGGCTCGGTTTAGAATGTGGGTGAAAGAAGTTGACAGGAAGTGGGAGGAAAAAGCCTATTACTTAGCATGACTGAAGGAGAAGTTAACTTCCTCTTTTGTTTTTTTTTTTTTTAAAAAGGGGGGGGTTACAAAGAAACCTTAACTTACCATTTGCTCTGATTTTTCTGCCTTGTCTTTGATGTCTTTGATTTTGCCAAAGAGCTGCTGAATAGCCTTCTGGGCCTCTTCAAGTGCCTAGAGTAAGAGAAGTAAGTGAAACACAAGCAGCAGTGCAAGCCAGCTCCCGTCACTACAATACAGTCAATTCCAGCCTCCACAGAAAATTACCACAAAGCTCTCTTGATTCACTGTGCCTCCACCAACTATTTTACTACCAAAGTAGTAGAGACCTCCAGAGTCTAGTATTTACGCCGGACTCTTACCGATCAGTATCATACAGTTTTACTTTAACTATTTGTTTACCTTTTTATTTGAAAGGCAGAATGACAGAGATAGAGAAAGATCTTTCATCTGCTGGTTCACTTCTCAAATGCTTGCAACAGCCAGGGCTGGGCCAGGCTGAAACCAGGAGCCAGAAACTTCATTTGGGTCTCCCACATGGGTGGCAGGGGCCCAGGGACATTAGCAGGGAGCTGGAATGGAAGTGGAGCAGCTGCAACTCAAACCAGCACTCTGGTATAGGCTATCAGTGTTGTAAGCAGCAGCTTAATCTGCTATATCACAAGGCCAGGCCCCATAAAGTTTTAATTTAAAAATTGAACTAATTCCCTCCACCTCACTGATTACTACATGTTGGTGATGACAATAAACAGGACATGCACAATTGTGTGTCTGCACAAGTCTATAGGAGACAGAGATGGGCTCTATGTTGGGAACAGGGGAAGCTCTGGATTAGCCTATTGAGCCACGGCGCCGGCCAGAACATGTGTTCTTCAGTGTCCAGCGGCTGAAGACTCCCTATAACTGACTGCTGCTCTGAGTGCCACCCACACCAGTCAGCATTTCACTAACCCCTGCACTCTGTCAATCATTCAGCAGGGCCTTCCTGAACACCTCCCATATATCTTGTATTACTCTAAGCACTGAGAATCCAATGGTAGACAAGATAGCTCCTGGTCACTCTCCCTGTCCTCATGGAACTTACTCTGAGAAGTGGAAGGAGGAGATATTGGAAAAGAAACTAAAGAAAAAAAGAAGAAAATGTCTGAGTGTGTTAGGTACAGAGAAGGAACTGAGCAGAGTGACAAGAATGTGGAAAACAATGGTCAGAGGGTCTCCTGAGACACACTGTATGAACTGGACCCCAGAGGTAGGGAAGACACAGGATTTGTAGATGTAGAGCAGGAGAATTCCAAGTAGACAGAAGAGCAAAAGCAAAGACCCTGAGATCAAAAGACCTTGGTGGTTTGGAGACCAAAAAGAGAGGCAGCAGGTGGTAATGCCATAATCAGAGTAGGAAGTATTCTGGAATATTCAGAGGTAGGCAGGAGCCAGGGCATGGAAGGCCTCAAAGGCCTGGTAAGAAGCATGAGATTCTATGCTAAGTGCAATGAGAAAACATTGCAGGGTCTTAAACAAGGAACTGGAGTATGGTTTATGTGTACAACAGCCCATGCTGGCTGCTATGTGCCAACGGGCTTATACAGAAGAAGGAGTGCAAACACTAGAGAAAGAACTGTTAGGAAGCTGCTGCAGTTGTCTAATGACAGATGGGGAGGTAGCTCTTGGGGATCAGAAACAGTGGGGCAATTTGGGGTTTATACGGAGATGCACCCTTCAGGATTCACTGATGGCCAGGGAAGGCTCGTGGATCACTCCTAGCTTTTGATTTGAAAAGTCAGTGGTGCCAGCACTGTGGAATGGAGGATAAGGCCGCCATCTGCAGTGCCGGAATCCCATGTGGGCACCTGTTCTAGTCCTAGCTGTTCCACTTCCAATTCAGCTCCCTGTTGTGGCCTGGCAAGGCAGTGCAGGATGGCCCAAGTCCTTGGGCCCCTGCACTCATGTGGGAGACCTGGAAAAGGTTCCAGGCTCCTGGCTTCAGATTGGTGCAGCTCTGGCCATTGCAGCCATTTGGGGAGTGGGCCAGCAGATGGGAGATCTCTCTCTCTCTCTCTCTGCCTTTGCCCCTCTGTAACTCTGCCTTTCAAACAAATAAATAAATCTTAAAAAAAAAAAAAAAGAAAAAAAAAAGTCAGTGAATGATTCCATTTACTGAGCCAGGAAGACAGGAGAAGGGACAGGTTCAATGGGCAGACATGGTGGTGGTGAACTGGAAATCAACAGTCCATTTTCACGGGCTGGGGCTGTGGAGGCATGGGTTAAGTCACTGCCTGCAACACTGGCATTCCATATGGGTGCCAGTTTGAGATGATGTTTTCTAAACCCACTGGAACTTTCTAAAAACTTTATAAGAAAGCACCATGGAGACCTCTGCAGGCAACTGACCACTAGAAAGGACTGACCTTGGCATGGCTGGCATAGAATTCTGGGATACTGCGTGTGGTATCATGTTATGAAGTGCTAATGGGATGGCAACCACTGTCTTCTAGCCAAATGCCCTAAGAAACAGGAAATTTGGCCAGGAATGCGTACAGGGCCAAGTTCTATCAAGAGATCTAAAGTCTGAAGGAGTCTGTGTGGCACTCCTCAGAGAGGGGGTTCTTAGCCCCTTTTCTCACTTATCACTGATCTGGCTTCTAACCAGGACTGTGCTGAGGGTACCAAGCTTCCCTTCCAGCAAACAAGTAAGACTTGCACACCCTCACATTTCACAGCCTTCAAGAAAGATAAACTGTCTGCCAGATTTTTTTTTTTCAGGCTGGAATACTTTTGCTTGTTATAATCATGTACTAAAGTTGGAGAAATTTAATGTAATTCTTTTTCCAGAGTCAAAAAGGTTCCTCTGAAGTATCCACTCTATCAAGCACATCCATTTTTAACACACACACACTCGTATGTGATCACAAACCTTCTGTAACACAGAGAGAAGAGCATTTTGTATTTGGAAGCATCATAAGACCTACAGAGGGAAACAATCTTATTTTTAAAAAATATTAAAACATTATTACTACATGGTTAATCAGAAAATATGGTGAAAGAAAGATTGTGGTGCTGTCTCTAGACTCTCTTTAAAATAAAATGTGGCTGCTTTTCCATTCCAAGCTATACGTGGATTAAAAACGGAACAAATCTCCCCAAAATGTCTGCTTTCAATCGCCCTGAGTGTCTCCCTCTACCCGGAGTTCCGGAATTGAGCACTGGAGCGTGGCCACAGCCTGCATGGGAGGGTGGCAGTAAGAAGCAGTCACTGGAGTGGCCTTCAGCAGCAACTCAAATTCTGTAACCAGGAGACCACTGAGCTAGCCTAGAAAGCTCGGCAAAACCAAAGGCAGTAGCTGTGTATTTCTGTGCATCACCAACTGTAGCGGTTCCTCTTAATTTTCCTTGCCTCCTGAAGCAGACTCTGAGCAGGCTCACAAAGCCACCCCAGGTCATGTGTGTGGAAGATAAGCAGCAGGGGACCTGGCACAGACTCTGCTGTCTTCTTTCTTTTTTCTCTTTTTGCAGAATTGCTGTCTGCCTCCTGTGTAGATAGAGGGACTCTGATCCAATGGCGGCGCCTTGAGAAGTAGACATCCCCTGTCGTTCTTAAGATGCATGTGATCTTGCAGTTTGCTCTGTGAGAGAGCTATAGTGCCTTCACTCTGTGCGTGTGCAGGCAGCCCTTCAGAGATGTTAAACGGAGATCCCATTTGTGGCTGGTGGAGGAAGGAGGAAAGGCTGTTCGTCTTCAGAACAACTGGTATGGTTTTAGATTGTTCTTTGAAGAAATAAGATGACTGGGAAGAAAACCAGCTTTTCCCACTATTTGGCTACCATTTTTCTTTTCCAATGTTACATTTATCTGCTAGTTCTCTTTTCTTTTATACAGTATGGAAAAGCAACATGTTGTTTAGTTAAAAGCAAGGGATTTTGAATCAGCACACTGGGATTTGACCTTTGGCCTTGCCACTGACTAACATGACCCCTGTCAATCTGCGTAATCTCTAGGAGGCAACCAAAATCAGGTCACCTTTCTCAGAGCTCTTTCTTTTTAAGATTTTTAATTATTTATTTGACAGGTAGAGTTACAGACAGTGAGAGAGACAGAGAGACAGAGAGAAAGGTCTTCCTTCCGTTAGTTCGCTCCCCAAATGGCCGCTACGGCCAGCGCTGTGCCAATCCGAAGGCAGGAGCCAAGTGTTTCTTCCTGGTCTCCCATGCGGGTGCAGGGCCCAAGCACTTGGGCCATCCTCCACTGCCTTCCTGGACCACAGCAGAGAGCTAGACCTGAAGAGGAGCAACTGGGATTAGAACTGGTGCCCAAATGGGATGCCAGCGCTGCAGGCGGAGGATTAACCTAGTGCGCCACAGTGCCAGCCCCCTCAGAGCTCTCCTGTTAGGAAGGAACATCGGAGTCAGTAGTATGTATCTTTGGAACTGTGGCCCCAGTGCTCTTCCCTCCTCTTGCACATCTTCTTACTGGATTATTACAGAGTCTGCTGTCCAAAGGGTAGACATGTTCTGGGCTGGGCCAAATCAGAATTATCTTGTAACTTCCCTGAACTAGAACTGGGAAACAGATTTCATCTCATTCTGGTGGTAGGAGCCCCCCGATGTGAGACTGGGTTAAACAGCAGTGAGGTTCCCCCGTGAGGGCAGGAGGCTGGTCTCCAGGTAGAGATGCTGGAGCTGAGACAGAGTTGCTGAGCACTGTTCCAGTCTGCGCCTACAGTAGTTTGACAAACCCAGCTGAGGCATCACTCTAACAATGGCCACACTGTTCAACCTCTCCTTCAAAACAAGACAAAACAGCATCCTTCCTCAAAATCTCCATTTCTGCTTACGGTAGTTTAAGTCAGGATTTTTGTCTTCTGCAACCAAGAGAGTGCTGAGTATATAAAACATCAAACCCATAAAAGGAGCTCTCTATACAGCAACTATGAATATTACTGCCAGATCTCCCAGAGTGCACTGCCTCAGGTGGAGCTATCCTTCTAACAGTCAAAGCTTGCCGACCAATCTTACTGCTTTCTAGGTAAGCTGATGAAGTTCAATATCTGCAGGCACACTCAGAAAAGTGGTTTTCATGTTCAAAATGAAATGCTCTACAGAAAAGTTTAAAAGTTTGGTCCAATCCTTCACTAAAAAGTGAATGCTGGAGCTGGCACTGTGGCACAGCAGGTAAAGCC